AAGGAAAGACGTTGGCCTTTTCTTCCAGCTTCCAAATTAAAAAGATAAAATGCAGAAGGGAAGGGGGAGGACGGAGGGAAAAGGAGCAGGGGTGGGGGAGGTCGGTTTTTCGAGGCCCAGCCAAGAAAGGGAGCAGCAGGTGGGCTTGGCAGCACTTTGGGCAGGCTGGTCTTCCCTTGCTGCTGCTCTCGCCTGAATGGAGCTTTATTCCGTTGGCCAAGGATGGGGCCAAGATGTCCCTTCCCTGCACTTCTGCAGTCCCACAGCAACTGCTTGTTGGAGGTGAGCCAAGTGTTCTTCCTGGCAGGGAGAGAGAAGAAGGCCAGTGCTTCTTCCCCGGCCAACGGATGGAGTCAAGTTGATCTCCCGCCTGGCCTGATGTTTTTCCCGGGATGCAGCTTCTTGGTGGCCCTCAGTGTTTGTCCTGCTGAGGGTTCCTTGCTAAATGCTTAGTTTAAGTGCTCTCAAGAGCAGAGCCAAAACAGAAAGCTTTGTCTGAGAGGGTCGCCGTGAAATGCGTGTGAAGCTGGGCTTCTGCCGAAGGCCCACTTCCCGTCAGGGCCCAGCTGACAAGGGCCCTTTGCTTGGAGCTGCTCCGTCTGTTCCCCGTTGCAACCTGTTTGCTTGCCTGCCTCTTGCTCAGACAATGTTGCTGGGGGGGGGGGAGCTGCCAAGGTTTTTTTGCTCCCCAGCACTGGGCGAGTGAGACCAGTCTAGGGTTAGGCAACATCACAAATCCCAGAGGGAACGTGGCTTCTAACAGCACCAGCATTCCCACCCAAAGCTGCCTCTTGCGAAGGAGCTGGGTGGAAAACACCGCGTGTGGGACTCTGCTCCTGGCCCCCTGGCCCCACCAAAATGAATTTTGCAGGTCACCGGGCATAAACCAGCTCTCTGTCCTCGAGTGACATCTAGCGGCCAAGCGTCAAGCGCAATGAGCAAAACGATGGAGTGGGTTGCACCCAGGTTCTCGCCTTTGGGGAATCCCAAACGGCCATGCCCAATCCGGGACAGGTTTCTTCCTCATCCCCCACGGCTCAGCCCATCCCATTCAACGGGGCCCAGCGCACCCTTCCACCACGGTGAGGAGGGAGCTGGGACAGCTGCTTCCATCAGTGCGCTTGCATGCGCCTAACCCTGGATCCCACCCATAGCTTAATGACCTCTTAACGACGAACAGATGGACTGCAGCACGGTGCCAGGGCTCGTGGGGACAGGCTCTAGCATTTCTCTGTTCGCGGGGATGCTGACGTCAGCCCCCGCCCCCATTCCTTCTGAACGTAGCTCTAATCTTCATCGGAGCTGTGGCAGGGGCAATAACATATAGACGTAGTTCCCTATTCTAATGCAAAATATTTTGGAGGGTCTTAGTCCTGAGCGGGGGAGGGGGGGTTCCTTAAACACACACTTGGCCCCATCTGGGAGACTTTAGAGCATACGTCAATTAACATGTGCTAATTGGTGCATGTATTTGTCCTGCAAGCCCCAGATGTTTTCCTAGCGCCACCCCTGCCGGGAAGGTAAAAACAAGGAGTTTGCATCAGATCAGTGAACAGAAAGGGAATTGGTGTCGGGGTGCAAGACTGCTCAAGCATTTGCCTGGCTGGGCACCGAGCGGGCCGAAACTGACTTAGCTTCTGTAAGGTTGCCGCAACCTATTCTGTGTCAAGAGCGATCAGACACAGAATAGGTTCTGTACCTGCGTTCCATTCACTTCTGCTGAGGAGGAAACGGGTACCAAAAAACATTCAGGGCTCACAAAGATTCTGGACAAACAAACAACCCGGCATTTGCAGGTACTAAAGTTTGTAAGGGTACCCTATTTGTAAAAAGAGGATGAATGGGCAAGAAAGAGCAGGGCATTTGATCTCTGGGGAGGGGGGACGTCAAGCAGGAAGATTCAGGGGTGGGAGGGGCAGGAGGAGGTGAGAGCCACGTGGACAAAAAAGCTAGTCCAGGGGGATTGGATGCCAGAGTGACCTTCCAGGCCCCTGCGCCTTTAGTTCAGCAAGTACCCCTGGACAATGCAGTGAAGGGCAGGGCAGTGAAGCCGATGTCCTCCCTGAGATCTTGGACCCCAGATGAAAGACTTGGGGGTCCAGCCGTAGGCGATCTCCTAACACCCCCTCCAGTAGGAACGAGGGATGAGATAGGGAAAGTGCGGAGAAAGCACAGCCTGACCTTTTTAGTATTGTAGGGTTGGAAAGAGCTGTTCAGGCCTCTCGGAAGCTTGTTCTGTTGTCTGGCCACTCTTGCCACTAGGAAACTTCTCCCAAAGCTCAACCAAAACCCACCTTCTTGTAACCAGAGCCCACTATTTTGTGTCCTACAATCTCGGGTGAATATGATAATCGGAATAAAATAATCTCAGTGAATAAAGTAAACAAATGGGGCAAATACTGTTTGTGTTTGACAGCACATAACTTGAGCCTAGTCGTGGGAAGCTCGGGAGATGCCGAAGCAAATCAATGCTGCTTTTCTGCAGCATACGCAGCAGATGGCAGCCTTCAGCCAAAAGTTTGTCACCCTTTTTTATTCCCCAGTATGGATAAGAAAGAGGCGAACTTTGGATGCTATTTTGCTTTTTATACATGAACTAAATCACACCTTGCTGACCAAATAGATTATCTTGAAGACAGATTCAGCTACCATATGGATCCTGCTTCCAGATAAACACTTGAGACTGGAACATCATAAAATGCTGTTATTAAACCCTATTTAATGGAAGTGTGGGTGGAGGCAATCGCTTTTTAAGTGCACGCTTGATTGAAAATGGCAAGGATGCTGGTTTCCACTAAACCTTAGGAGGAAGTTCAAGACTGCCTGCAAGAGATGTAATTTATTTGTTTGTCGTATTTATATCCCATTGTTTCCTTCAAGGAGCCCAAGGCCGCATAGATGCTGGTCCTCCTTTCCATTTTATCCTCTCAACGACCCTGTGAGGTAGGCTAGACCAAGAGTCTGTGAGTGGCCCGAAGTCACTAGAAGGGGGCACTAGAACCTGCATCTTGCAAGCCCTCGCCCTGCAGTAATGCGATTTTGGTAGATTTTCATTTGTTAGAAGCATTTAAACAGATGCTTGACAGTCAAAATACAAGGCCCTGTGCTACGTAGCTCCTACCCTAGACAACCTCTAGAACACCTTCTCTCCGCGGTTCCTCCTGGTGAGGTTTGCCAGCTTTTGAACCTGGCCGCGCTCCTGGGCCTTGAGCTGCAGCACTGAGGTCACCGCATTGTGACCAGAGCCCATGCTGTGAGACGTTTCACCTGTTGATCTCTTGCGTCAAACTGCTGTCAGAACTATCTGGTTTTTCTAGCCAACTGCAAATCCTGCCATCAGCAGAGCGGAATGCCCCTTCCATCAGGGGCAGCCATGTTTCCTGCCTCCATCAGAACAATGCAGAGGTGCAGAGAACTCCTGAACATGCACAGAATTACCTTTAAAGGAATATTCCCTTCAGCAAGCTGAGTTAGTTGCTATCAGGAACCCTATGGGTCTGTGTGTGCTTTGCCCCTTCCCTTCTACATGTCCAGAATTACTTCTGCAGCTGGATCTTGTCCATGACACTGGCTGGGGAGTGTGGGGAGACTGCCCGGCAATCTGCAGCTGCCTCGCTTTGCCTAAAGGTAGAGCCAGGCTAGCCTTCTTTCTCTGAAATAGCAAATCAGCCAACAGACAAAGCACAGGAGGGAAGAAAAATGGCCCTCAAGGGCCTGTGCTGAATCCATGTCATCACTTCCGAGGTTTAGCCCTCAAAGTTTTGTTTTCTTTTCAAGGTTTGGTTTCTAAGAGGCTGATCTCTCTCTCTCTC